TCAAAACAAGGGGTTGGAGAAAACTGCAGAATGAGATTCTTGAGACACGTGTTCTTCACGAAGTACTATTACAGTGATCAGTTCAAGAATCATGTAGCACAAACATCAGACACAGGAAACGTACACAAAACTTCAGTCGTAAGACCTAAAGGGAAGAGACCAATTGGAACTAGATGAGAGGATAATATTAAAATGGTTATTAAAGAAATATGTGTGTAGTGGATTCATTTGGCTTAGTACAGGGTCCAGTGGTGGGATCTTGTGAATAAACACACACACAGAATTATCTGGTCACTAGGGAAATGAACAATAGTCTGCTCCCAAGAAATTAGGCAACCAGCAGTAGCAGTGAAACATGCTCCAAATTTCTTTGGACAGGCAACTTCAAACACCGACCTCGCCCTTATCAGACGCCATTAAAGTCTGAGATGACACAGGTCGGGGGGAGGGGGGTTACAAACCTGACATTCCGTTATTCCAGTTACATTTAAGCGAAAAATAATGCAATTTCTAAAGCCGCAGGATCCCTCCAAAGTGAGATGAAGATGACAGAATCTCAGGAGAACTTGGTGGAGGATGGTCGGCCTGTGACGCCGAGTCAGGCACCAGAAGAACCGACGCCGGAGACGTCGCTGACACCGGATGAAAAGATGTTCCTGATGTACGCAGAGAGGGGGGACTGTGCAAGTCTCAGGAGGTACACAAAGGCAACACTTTTCACATAGATTACTCACATTAAGACGATAAAAGGCAGGAGAGGCTAAGCACCTCAGGTCAGATGCTTTAATCTGCTCAATTAGACGGCATGTCACACAGTGGATACAATATTTTTTGTTTATGTATAATTTTTTTATTTTTTGGTAAAATATGTATGCGATTGTAAACGGGGTAATCAATAAGACTTCGGTCATGAGCAAAGCAAAATGGCGTGGTTGATATTTGTGGTCTGTGGACCTTTAATTTAATGCAGATGAATAAGGAAAGTAGAAATATTAGAAGACACAAGCAAATATATGCCCTAAAATTCCTTAATGGAAGAACATACAAGTTCTCTGCCTGTTCGATTTAAAGCAGTAAAATGCGAAACTATGAGAACGGTTCTTCTGGGCATTTAACTTGTAAATGTTACTTCACTGTTTTTTGCCATATTAAAAGGAACAAAGGGTAAAAGTGTCCCACAATCCATTAGTGTAAGTTACGTCCACAGTACTGAACATACTAACAATTCATAAGTGAAAACTTTGTTGATTAAATTCCACATTCCACCTGTGAGCCCTGAGGCTTGGACCATTCAGACGAGCGTACACACAAACACTGTTCCAACGCAAAGCTGTAGAATCGTGTCCACGAATGATACCAGAGCACAGTGTGACAAACGTCTCTGGTGGTGGCTGTTGTAGTCTATTGGAGGAACGCAGAAACCAGCCGGAGGAGCTCAACATCAACTGCGTGGATCCCCTGAACAGATCAGCTCTCATCACAGCCATTGAGAACGAGAACATAGACCTCATCAGGATCTTGCTCGAATGGAACATTGACGTGAAGGTATGCACTTCAACAGAGGCACACGACTGGACATTAGGGTTCAAGAAGGCATATGCCAGGGTTAAGAAAGTTTTACGCTGAACTCCAGCTGCGGAAACCTCAATTGTGTGTTTTGGTCTGAATGGGAAACTTCCTTTTATGACCGGCAGACCTTTTTTCCTAGGATGCCCTGCTTCACGCCATAAAGGAAGAGTACGTGGAGGGCGTTGAAGTTCTCTTAGTGTGGGAGGAGCAGAATCACAAGCCAGGTCAACCACACGTGAGTACACACACAAATGAACAATCTCAATATGAATCTCATTGAAATACAGTATACTTTTATTTGGTGAGATTTCAGGTTATCATGACAGCAAGTATGAAGATGACTGTCTTCTAAGATGTTGCACTACGCAGTCCAGTAGACACTGATCAATGTTTCAGTAGTCCTTACTATTTCCATCATCAGGACGATGAGTTCTGATGATGGCGGCAGTAAGCAGTTCTGAAACACAGCACAACATCCCAGAAGGCAGTCATTTCAGCTTTTATTTAAATATCCATTTCTGATGTACTGAATACTTAATGACGTGGGAGGGGCGTAACTCGTAAATAGATTTGCAAAAGGTAATTTCAAAGTAGCTTAAACAACTGTCACATTACGCGGCTCATATTCCGTAACAGAGACCGCTAACAAGCTCTTGTCGTCTGGTTGCGATGCAGAGCTGGGAGGCTGCTGACACTGCCACCTCCACCTTCACACCAGACATCACACCCCTGATTCTTGCAGCACATACGAACAACTACGAGATTCTCAAGATTCTTCTAGGTCACGGGGCCTCACTGCCAACACCACATGATGTGAGGTGAGAAAATGCAACCAGCACGACTGCTTTAATGTGAAACTGATATTCTGCAAAACATGATGGCATAATTATTGATAGGAGAGATAAAGAAGTGATTGGCTGAGAAAATAATACGCGACACAAAACCAGGCCTCTTAAATCTGAGCGAAACAAGTCACTCAATTATAAAAGTTCTTTTTCTTCATACCGAATTCTTTTACTTGTAATATGGGCAGACTTTGAAACAACTTAAGGTACGGGCGCTGGAATGTCAGGAGATTGACTGCAAACAGCAGCAAAGCAAAACTTCAATTTCATGGCACTGAAAAGCAAAGTAGTTCTTTCTCTACACAAAAGGGAATAACTGATAATTATCATCTCAGGGACAGCTATTTAATATCAGATTAACAATTAGGGTAGTTCTGATAAACAAAGTATGGACTGAATTCATCTGGCTCAGGACACGGTCCAATGGACCGTTCTTGTGAACCATCAGTTTCTGCTTTGTGGAGTGAATTATTTCTAGATTCATAAGAGCCACATATATACAATCTTTCCTCATTTACAGAGTACTGCTAATGTTGTAAAATTGCTGACAAAAAAACCTTTACTCAGAGCTTTACACATTAATTCTGAAGTTTCTGTTCCATCCTAAGCAACAAATAATTCCTAATCAGACAAGAAGCCCTATCAAAGATCAAGGATGCAAATCAATGTGCTCGCAGATGTGCATGTGACGAATGCGCGACTTCAAGTGAAACGGATTCTCTGAGGCACTCCCAATCCAGAATCAACGCGTACCGAGCACTAACGTCACCTTCGTTCATATCGCTGTCATCTAGAGATCCTTTACTGACGGCCTTTGAATTGTCAAGGGAGATCAGACGACTCAGCAGAATGGAAAATGAATTCAGGGATGAATACAATGTACGTAAGGGCTTGTCCATGTATAAATACTTTTGAATACTATTATAAGATAAATAAATGGAATGGGTATAACAATTCTCACATACTACAACTCTTGATTATAGGCAATGCGCTCACAATGCCAAGAGTTTGCAACAGCGCTCCTAGACCACATCCGCACTTCTCTAGAACTAGAAGTGATCCTAAACCACAATCCTGATGGAGAAGAACACTGGGACCCAGGGGAGAGACAAACTTTGGAAAGACTGAAACTGGCCATCAAATACAAACAAAAGCAAGTAAGTAATAACACAGCGTCAAAAGATTTTAAACTCCAACTCTTTATTTCCACATCGTGTTGTCCGCTGTTTGCATATTCACACTGTGTTCAGAAATTCAAGAATTTTCATCACATTTCTCTGAATCTCTGAGATATCAGAGACTTGCATACTTTGATGAATATTATTAAAAGGATAAACAAACTAAACGCTATACATAACCACCACAATCCTCCATTTAAAAAAATACCGAGTCAAATTTATGCAAAATAGAATTTTTGAGAGCTGCAACATTTTAGTGAAAAACAAACAAACAGATATGATGTTTGCTCTGACATTAGCAATCATTCTTGAGACTTACAACTTGCAGCAAATCAGTACATTAAACCTGAGTTAGAAGGTTTTCTCAAACCTCAACCCTATCAGTAAACAAGCCACACACAATCACATCTGAAACAGAGTTATGAAGATATGCAGCAGTCACACGTAGTCTCAATGCAGAACACGGCATGAGGACTAAGCGTCTAACAGCGAATCTAACTTCAAACCAAACAGACCGACGTATCGCATTAAACACCAAACACACAACGTTTCCTGAAATACTAGTTGGACTTATCAGAACATTTAACTTATTAAACAATACTAATGCTTTCCTTCCATCAGTTTGTAGCTCATCCAAATGTACAACAGCTATTGGCCGCCATCTGGTACGAAGGTTTACCAGGTTTCCGTCGTAAGAACGTGGCAAGACAGCTTTTAGAAGTGGCAAAGCTTGGAGTCATGTTTCCTGTATACAGCACCATCTATATGTTGGCACCTACATCTAAAATGGGAATGTTCATGAAGAAACCGTTTGTGAAATTCATATGCCATTCATCATCATACGCCTTCTTCCTCAGTGAGTACAGCGAGTAACAATTTCTTAAGTTTTATGGTCAGTAAAAATAGAGAAAGAATGTTCTAAGTTTGGCAAACTCTTCTGTGGGCTACTGGAAAAACATCTGACTTAAAATCACACAGACGTTCTGTAACTGACCATAATGAACAAAAACAAAGATTCGTGGTATATCTTAAGCTACTGCCACAGAATTTTCATGAAATGACTGAATAAATACACTAAAACATTAGTCCTTTCAGAGCTGTAATTTTAATTGTAAACTGTCTTTTAGTCCGGTGATTGCAATAAAATGAGCTAACACCACAATTCAACAGAACACAATTAAAGTGGAACTGTGACATGACGATGTTTGCATGTGTAAGTATTACAAGAAAAGTAAAACAAGCAGATTATATACTTCATTTGCTACAGAGCGTGAGCTTGTAGTTTCTTGCCACACTCATAACGAACAGCTGTTCCATACAGTGCTGCTGAGTCTCGCATCTCAAAGAGTGGAGTTCCGGGTGATAGAATGGTTCGGCACGCCCTGGATGCTATCCCTCCTTGAAAAATGGAAGCAGCAAGAGAGAGGCTCACTGCCAAGGCCAAGTGAATACTGTATCATCTTCTACGTCATAAGTAAGAATAAAACGGAGCTCATTAAAAGTAACGATGGACAAGGCTTCTGGTTATGAACCTAGTAACAATTCTATCAGAAATACTAGTAATAGTATCCCTTTGTTCTGGAATAACTGGTGCATAAAGACAGCTAGAGCGAAGTTTGATGTCAGGAATGTTTTCCATCAAAAACAATTTAATATTGCAGTTTACCCAGAAAAACATCAAGTGCCTATTGCGGACTCAGAGATTTACAGGATTTATAAAATCAGCCACAGTAAATCAGACGACCCATTTAATGCATAACTCAGTTTGAATTGTAGTTTCTTCTGGTTATTTTGTAACTTCATGATGCTGTATTAACTACTAATGAGAACAAATTTTATGTTTATAAAAGATAACTTGGGAGGGGAAAAGTGACGAGCCTATTTTGAAGTACTATCCTGTAAAATGCCTGCAGAGAATAAATAAAATGACAAAAATCCTTCAAGATAACTGGTCTCCAGTTGAGATTCAAACCAGTATCTAAGAAATGTAAGACACACTGATACTGTTCCAACATTCTTGATGCGCACAAAGAAATATTCATAATTTGTAATTGTTTATTATGATGCAGGTTTGATATGGTTTGAAGTACGGTCTTTGTGGACTGACGGACTTCTTGAATATATTAATGACCTTTGGAACATAGTTGACTTCATCATGAATGCCTTCTACCTGATATGGATCAGCCTTCGGTTCACATCCTGGTATATTGTACAGGTACAAAGGTCTGGAAGCAAACTGATATAACTAGCATTTTATGGTCCATGGAGATAAAAAGTTACCATTGAAATATTAATAAGTGCCTGAACCTCTTCCACATCTCCAACCAGCACCATCAAACCTAACAATATGCCTACTGCTCGACCTGTATAAGGGTTCCAAAAATGCCCAAACCACTGCACATTGACCTTGAAAGTGTTAAAACTGCAATGTTTGCCAGAATGTTGGATGACACGTTTTATCCACAAAATCCAAAGATACACATTAAAATATTCATTAGTAATGATTTCCAAACAGCCAACCATACAAGTACCCAAGGGTACAATCAAGTTTCAACTTGGATGTCACACATTTCATGTCATAGAATATCACTTCCATTTTTGTACACTCCGTTCCCCTGAAATTATCTAAGTCCAAAACTGGAAGTGATGGACACCTGACAGCACAGCGAGCACCGTAATTCCTGTCATTCATAATCTCCTTGGATCTGTCTGCATGTGGCTCTTCTCTGCCATTAACTACAGTTTACGTTGCTGTTACTAGGGTTACATTTATTAACCACCTGAGCATACTATCATCTTTCTCAATAAGATTCTGCTCCATGGAATTAGCTCGAGTTCTGACGATGTTACATACTCAGTATTGTATACATGAAATCAAAAAGGCAATTTAACTGTTTCATATTTATGAGCAGGGCCTTAATTCTCTGGACTGAATGACGACGCATTGGAGAAATCCCCGAGGCACTCGTGTGAGCTACTTACTGAAGCAAGCTGTTATCTAACTACATAACATACTGACATGAAGTTTTAATCAAGCCTAAGTTTACATTTCCCATTGAGCCAGCACTAACATAACACAGTACGTAAATGGGATAACAGATTTGAAGAGACGCAGCCATTAAGCATTCCACGTGTTTTGCTATTTCTTCCTGTCTCTGTTGTGAAATGCATTTGAAAATCAAATGGAAGGTCTAATGACAGTACCAAGCTTATTTCAATATCCATTTACTGAAACAAATAATCCAAATACGCTGACAAACAAATAAAACAATGGAATGACTCAAAAGTTAACCCTAATCACTTCATACCAACAATTACTACAGCGCTTGTTATAAATCTAGCGAAATCAGTCTGTTATCTTAATCCTAAATTTTGTTGCAGAAAGAGTATTTGCATGGAGATAATCCCTGGTACCCTCGCGAACAATGGGACCCGTATGATCCGATGTTACTGTCAGAAGGTGCATTTGCGGCAGGAATGATTGTCAGGTGAGTGGATGAAAGACAAACGAAGACTTCAAGCATTTTACTTTGCTGTGGCGCATTACAGGTTTCCATTAAGCATAATAATAAGTTTGGTTTTTTATAAAGTATTTTTCGGTACTGGCACAAACCTAGCTCTGAAGCACTGCCTTCTTTAAATAACCTTCAGTTGCATGTGATAATGAAAAATAAGGAAATGTGCATAACATTTACTAAACTGAAGTTTAGATCAAGTGCATGATTTTGACCAATTTTTTTCCCCCCTCCCAGTTACATGAAGTTGGTGCACGTATTCAGCATCAATCCACACCTGGGCCCTCTCCAGATCTCGCTTGGTCGGATGATTATCGACATTCTCAAGTTTTTCTTCATCTACTCTCTGGTACTTTTTGCATTTGGCTGTGGTGAGTAACTTTAATACATCAGGAAGAATGAACAATTGCTTATACACACTTGCTTCAACATTGTCTAAAAAATAAACTGCAAAACTTGCATATCAATTCTTAATGTTCATATAATTCTGCATTAATGGTCTACATTTTGCAATATTATACTTCAGGAGTTTGACAAAGTTTTACCATACATCAGATGTAATTGTCATGCATGTTAAAAGTTAAATCTGAACTTACGCACTATTTACACTGTCCTCCAAACATGAAAATAATGAGTTTCGGAGCTCACGCTCCAAACTTGCAGTAGTGTAGTGCAGTATTGTCATCATGAATATAAACGCACTGGCAGTTTAATAGTGCCCTATATCTAGGAAGGGGGCCTGTGTCCTAAACTTGTCGAACACCTAATGCATCCAATCTGTTATGTGAATAAGTTATCAGGCATCCTACATCCTAAATAACTTAAGTTATTCAAAAGACTAGCGTGATGCAACACTTGTTCATCTTCAGGCACTTGTCTTGTAGGAATGAATCAATTACTCTGGTACTATGCAGACCTCGAGAAAAGAAAATGTTATCACACACCTGATGGACTGGGGGGGGGGGGGAGGGGGGGGGAGAAGAAAAGAAAGGGGAAGACCCAAAACGTGAACTTCTCAGGAACTCCACAGCGTACAGTTTCTGGCACAGACTGTGCATTATCCAGAAGCAAGTACCTGTGTCAAACAGAAAAGAAGAAGGAAAAGAAAAACCTTTGGTTCCTTGGGATTCTGCTATCACTGCACCACATTATTTTTACGTACTGCGGTATAAAAGAATGCCTTACATTTGAATACACACATTAATTGCTCAATGTTTGTTCCAGCTTATTTGAGACATCACAATCACTATTTTGGGCCAGTTTCGGCCTGATAGACCTCATGGCATTTGAGCTGAAAGGAATCAAGAGTTTCACTAGATTTTGGGCCCTGCTCATGTTCGGTTCCTACTCGGTGATCAACATTATTGTGCTACTGAACATGCTTATTGCTATGATGTCTAATTCGTATCAGATCATCTCGGTAAGATTCGGTAAACACAAAACTTACTGGAAGTGTCATCTCTTTACAATATAACTGCACTTATGTATTACAGCTTCTTATCCCTTCATAAAGTGCAATAAACTTTAGTGAGGTGTTAACACAGGTCAAAACACAATTTATTAATCCACTGTATCCTGACACCAAGTCAGAAAGTACAACCGAGACTGGATACCTGATTACTGACACCAGCACAGCCAAAAGTAAGATATTAGATACATGACTGTTACTGCCACCTGCTGTCCTTCAGCAGTATCTACCAACCATGGCGGAGAAACTAAAATACCCCCATATGCCTCTTTCAGCTGCTCACTCAACCATCTACCAATTTTAATAATCCACACCTCCGTATACTACCAATGAAGCTGGCCTGTACCAAACACAACCTGCATCCCTCCCCTTGCCTTACTTTGCAAAAAAAAATATTGTATTTCAAATGAAAATTCACTAACAGCTGCAAGATTTTCTCCAGTATTATTTGCGTCTACTTATTTTTGAGAAAGCATTACAGAATACGAATCCCTCTCAGAATAACTGTGGATGTCACTCCCCTTTGTATCTCAAAGTTGAAAGCAACATAATGAGATAATGACTCCTATTTAACAACTTATGAGACATATGCCAGAAGTCTGTCTCATGCGTCTGGTAAGCTCAATGTCTTTCTCATATGGTTATGGGAGTAAACTCTTATAACTGTTAATTTCAGTGCTTCAAGCAGGAAATAAAATAAAATTAAAGACAGACAGGTTCAAGTCTACTCTAAAACAAACACACACACACACACAAGAAGACTCACAATATTATTATTTTAAACCTGAAGCCTTGGCATATGTTTGTTTCATGATTTCCATAGGAACGTGCAGACACTGAATGGAAATTTGCTCGCAGTCGCTTGTGGATGAGTTACTTTGAGGAGGGTGACACAGTTCCACCACCCTTCAACATAATCCCTACAATAAAGAGTTTGAGCAAATATGTGGGTTGCAGAAAGAACAGAACATCTGCGTCTATTATGGTCAGTACGAATTACATTCATTAGCTACTGTTAACGTAATTTGGTGAAAGAACCTCACACGTGAATACATGTTAGTTTATGTAATACTTTCAATCTGTTTATCGGAAATGAATTATATTTTTAAAAATACAGCTAACTGCAGCTTTTGATGTGTTATACTTAAATATATGCATGCCTTGGGCTTTAATTTTTTACGGAATGAGAAAGCTGATGTCAAAGTGATCAGAAATAATTAACAGTCAATGTGCGTTATGATATCACCCAGTTTTGGTGTTCTTCTATGTTCTTGTTTGAAGTTCAGGTAAAAGCACTGAACTTCCAGATGTACCTCTACAAATACAAAGCAACAAAGCTGATGGTGACTATTAAAATGGACAATGCTTCTGCAGTCTCTGCATTACACAGAGTACAATTAACAATACAAGTATGCACTGTAAAGAACAAAATTCATACACAGCATACTACATAAGACACTCTGTTCTGACAGAACAAAGTTTATGTCGCCAATCAGTTTGCCAACACTTGCCAGCCAGAATAAGCCAGCTTACTCTGACAAGTATCAGCAAAGAGGTGAAATACCATTATGCTCAAAAAACTTTTCAGGTGCTACTTTGGACACAAGTTTATCAGCCAACTCCTTTAACTAGGGTTAAACATGTTTAATGCCACCTTAATTAAGTGCATGACTGAAAATCCAATGTATCTTTTAGGGGTTTTTGCAAGATAAAATGCATCAGATAACAGTTGTACATTACATTTCAGTTTTCATCAAAAGAATCTTCAAAATGTCCCACAACGCACATGTGGCGGCGGTTTGTATTCAATGATGTCCAACGCACTTGAGCATTATCAGTTCATAATTTTATAGAAATACACAATTAGTTTTCATTGGTTCTCAAATAATGTGTTACAAATCACTTGTTTAGAGGAAATCACACAAGAAGGCTCTTCAGCGACATGAAACAGTGATGCGCCTCCTCATCAGGCGTTACATCACAGAAGAGACAACGAAAAGGGACAGATCTGGAGTCACAGAGGATGACGTGATGGAAATCAGACAAGACATCTCTACTTTGAGATACGAGCTCATTGACATTTTGAAAAATAATGGAATGAGAACACCCATGCTTGAAAAATATGTGTCTCAAGGTTTGAAAATATTTGTCTTTCTACGGTAATTACTTTAATACTTGCCAGCATATAATTATTACAACACACATATTCATTACAGCTTATACTTAATATTACCAAAGCTGGATATGACTTTTCAGTACTAAGTGAGCACACGTGTTAAAAATTTACTATATTTATATTGCACGTCATACATTCTGTGCACAAAACTTTACAGTCCTTCAATACTGTTGCTCTTCTGGACTAAATCCACCATTTAGTTTATTAAAGCAAAGCCATAACATTTCAGAGGCTGACTCTGTCAATTTTTTCAGTGGATCTACTCTGTTGGGTCCACTAAAGAGTTTAACCCCAATCTCTGGATCCGCTGCTCTGCATTTTCAAGAATTCCTTTGGTCCTTACACAGGATATTATGACAATGGTTATTCTTATTAAAGTGAAGGATTCATATATTATGAAACAGTTACAAATAAAATTAATTATCTTCTATTCACACATGCTGTTCAGAAGAGAAAGAGATACAAATTAGCTTGTCTGCTCCATGTATAAATATCTGTTGTCTTCTTACTTTTACTTCTTTAGATAACTTTATTTACAGTTCCTGGTAAGAAGAATCGAATAATGGAACGTCGCCTCAAGAAAGGATTCCAGATTGCTTTAGTAGAAGGAATTGTGAGTGAAGTAATTGGTGCTAACAAGGAACCACACAATGTATTCAGCAAAATTGCTCGAGCCGTCGGTCATCGAGCAAGTGGCCAGAGCAAGAAGAAAGACTGGAATGCTATGGTACGCCAGAGCACGACAGTAAGAGACCCGATCGAGAGCTCCAGAGAATCAGATTTCCGACAATCACATCAGAGTATGAAGCGGCACACCACTGCAAACTACAACACAGCCTTAGTATCAATAGACGCAGAGAAACTCATTAAAGATAACCCTAGACTTTCATTAGTCACACCTGCAACTAGACTAGCATATGCCAAATTCAAGGTTGCTGAATTCAGACAAGAAGTTAAAGAGATAAACAACAAAACTGAGAATTCCACAGAAAATTATGATAAAACATCAATTACTGATGATGCAATTCAAACAAAAGTTAACTATGGACATCATTCCAGAAATGAAATATCTCAGACTGATGCAACAAAATCCATTTCTATCGTGAGGCCTAGAAATAAGTCAGCGTCACCTTGTGTTGGCATGCTTGCTTTACATTCTTCTACAGTCAACGACCAACTGCCTTCTAAAGCAGTTTCAACACTTACTAAAGCAAAGCCAGACAAAACAGCAAACTCTCCAGGCAATGATGAAACTCCAACATCTCACTCTTCAGTCAAGAAAGACTTCAGAACAAGAACACCAATTCAAGAAGAGGATAATGAAGAAAGCACAGAATATTCACAGTGGAAGACACAGAAAGAGGAAGAAGTTGAGAGCAATAACGAAATAAAGGCAAAGACCCTGAGACCAATGAAAACTACAGAAATTACAACACCGACAGAGAGATCAAGGAAGCAAAGTGGAAGATCAAAGTTAACTGGTGAAATTAAAACTGGATGGATGTAATGTACAAGCATATGCATCATCATAAATATAAATGCTGATGATCTGGATGGATGTAATGTACAAGCATATGAATCATCATAAACATAAATGCTGATGACGGTGTGTTGGCATAAACACGATTGTTATTCTTTTGGACACCATCACTCAGGGATTGAGACTAGCTTCCTCTGCGCAGTAAGGCCACCAGAGTAGAACCTTACTCCCCCTGCCACGTGACAACAAAAACCGAGCCAGTTTCCAAAACATCAATGGCTGATAATGTCCAAAAAATAAAATATGAAATTTGTATGTATCACATTTGTACTGTAAGAGAAACCAGCTTGCAGGTTACATAAATAAACTAATAATTTTGCACTTTACTATATAACATTCTTTAAAAAAAATGTTTTAATTGTAGATAATATTATAAATAATAATAAAATATACCTAAAGTCAGGATATATAAATAAAGACCAATAACTGCATGGCAGCAGAATGTCTGATAGTTATTAAAAATAAATAGCAATAAGCATCAGAGTCTGTATTGGTTGTATGACACTACAGTTCTGTGGTCAGAACCCCCCCCCCCCTTTTGTCCTTTTCAGTTCCAAAATTCTGGGAGAAGAGTCACTGCGTTATGCCTTGCCAGCTCTACAGCTATTGTTTTTTTGTTTTTTTTGTTCAATGTTCACTACTTACTTCAATTTCATATTGATCATCTGCCTTTGGTCTCATAACATTTTAAATAATTTTTCTCCCATATCCTACATTGTAGATTTTAGCACTGGAAAGCACAGTAAGTGAATCGTCACTGCAAACGCAGTTTGAGATGTGCGTATAAAAGCACAATATTGTAATAAAGAAGAATTGCCAGAGCAATGGAAGGAATCTGTTACTTTACCTACCAATAAAACTAACAGTAATAATTGTGGATAAATACGTATCACTGCTACCAACTACACTAGAAGTTTTATTCAACTATTATCTGTCAAGGTTAACCCCATTAATAGACAAAATTATTGTAGGCCTAATTGTTCAACTACTGATCACATATTCTGCATTTGTCATACTGAGAACAAAATGTGGGGGGGGGGGAAGTATAGTGAAATTACTATTTATAGACTTCAAGGAAGCTGACAAATGAAATTACTTGCACTGAAGTTGATACAGAAGTAAATGCAAATAAAACTATGTATACTATTTTGTCCTGTCACCACACTACAGGACAAAATCATTTTATAAAGCTGGTAGCTAATTAATGTGAGGAAATGTGGCAAAGTTCAAACATGCGGGAAAGATAGCAACAAATCAGAAATACATTTATGAGGAAATTATGGGCAGACTAAACTCAGGGAATGCCTGCTACCATACAACGCAGAATCTTCTTCCCACATGCTATCTAAATACAAGACTAAAATTGGATTACATACACAAAACTATAATTCTACCTCTTGTTTTGTGTGGGTGTGACGCCTGGTCAGTCACGTTAAGGTAAGAACACAGACTGAAGGTATTTGAGAACAGGATGCATTGGTGAATATCTGGGCCTAAGAGAGATGAAAGGACTGGAGGCTGGAGAGTAATGCACAGTTGCAAACCCCACAGCATTTACTCTTAATCAGATTGGAAAATATGAGTGTGGCATGTAGCCAAGCACGGGAGACATGAGAAATGCATACAAAATTTTGGTGGGAGAGCCTGAAGGGAAGAGACCATTCAGAAGACCTGAGCATATATGAGGGGGGATGATATTAAAATTTATCACCGCGAAATAAGACTAGAGGGTGTGAACTGGAATCATCTTACTGAGGACAAGGACTGGTGGCATGCTGTTGTCAACATGGTGATAAACTTCCAGGTTCGACAAAAGGCAAAGACTTTATTGCCTATTCTACTACTACTACTACTACTAACCTTCTCGAGAAGGGTTCTGCTTCAGAGACCACAGCGAAGAAATACAAGCTGTCAGGGAAAACCAAGGTAGTCAAACTAGCACAGTCTGGGATATCTTTTGTCAAATATGTGCAATGCCTGAAAATCACTCGCAGTGTTTAGATAAAGTTCTTCTGAGTCAACTGCTATCCACAAAACCTGATATTAACATTGTGTCACTGAAGGCAACTTAGCCTTACAATTTTCAATTTCCTACAGTAAGTGCAACACGGCTTGCATGTGACTAGCGAAGTGTAACAGGCAATTAACTGGCTGTAATAAAATTAAGATAACAAACGTCTAAAAATCAGATAATAAATGCCCTATCCAGGCAGGATACAAACACAAAACCTCAGCAGCAAGACTTACAAATTTAAAGTGATAAGAACAGCTATTATGCTTATTTGAAAACATTATAATAGCATTTACCTGCAGGAAGGGTAGAAAATGAGAAGAAATCTTGTTTCTGCTTTGCTTGAGATACCAAAATAAAAAAAGGGATGCCCAGATGACTACAATGTTAAACTGAATGACTTGATTCTTTAGTTAGCTACTTAACAGTCAAAGTTTCACAGTTAAAGTATGAAACTCAGAAAAATTCAAGAATCTCATTGCAGTTTATATGAAGATGGCTGTCTTCTGAAATGTAGCACGGTGCAGTCCAGTAGGTATTGACTGACATTTCAGAGGAGCCTACTGCTTCCATCATCAGTGATGATGGCTGGCCAATGTCTATCGTACTACATGGTGCTACTACATTCCAAAAGACAGCCATCTTCAATACAAAACTTTCCTATTATGTGCTATGGATTTATTTGAAAATAGATTATGTACCTATGGGGAAATATGATTACACAGAAAATAGAACATATTCAGTTGATGTATTCTTTTCCTACATCTTCCAAACTTCTTTCCACTGTTTACATTTTTTGTCTCTCATGTCTCTTTTATTTTACAAAAAAGTCTTGAAGTCAGGACGGGTTCAACAGCGCGAAACAGGCAGTATACTTATACCTGCATATTCTTAACTAAGTTAAGTTAAGCCACGATGTATGTAAATCTATGTCACAGAAGCCATGAGCAGGAAAACAGATAATGCAATAAACCAAGGTATAAAAAGTAGCCCCACAAGTTTTCTGTGTTTTGCTGGCAGCCTGAGTCATTCTGCCCCTCGTGTTACATTAGATCAGGTTGCTACAAGAACATTACTGGTAAGTTTTGTTTCTAGAATTTGAATTACAATAAACTTGTGTCAGTTCATACACTACTCCGCACTGAAGCCTAACGCGTATTAAGATATTTGTTTTTCCTTTTATGTTACCCTCAGCTTTATATTTATACAGACCTTATTTCAACCTACTTCATCATTTATCTCTACAGCTCCTTCCTTACTTCACGCTAATAAGCCAAACAAAGCAAAAGAAAATGTTCAATAGGTGTCAAAGTTGTTTTATATTCACGCTAATAAGCCAAACAAAGCAAACGAAAATGTTCAATAAGTGTCAAAGTTGTTTTATGAAACTTGCCAGATCATTTTTAGAAATCTGGCAGTTACTCAGCTGGCCAAGGTATTACCTGCTTTTATGCAACCAAAAGGCCCATCACCACATTTAAAGGGGTCCAAATTTGAGCCAGTTAAGTCCAGCCCAGACATTCATATGCTGTTTCTATTTATACCTGCATCTCCTAAGCTGACACTTCCCTTCTCTTCAGGTTTACTTACTCAGACTTTGTATACATTTATCATCTCCCTCATTCAATTTGCTCAACCTGAAGTCTCATCCTCCTTACTTTGATACCACAAAAGCATTAAGTAGGGAGTGCAGATTATGACATCACTCATTTTTAATTATCCCTGCCCTGTTACGTCCTCATTTTCTCATTTTAACACTTTGTTCTCAAATACCTTCAATTTGTCACACAGTTTTAATTTACCACTGACACTCCAAAGCACCTGAACCTTGCCCCACTTGAGTAAATGATTCATCCACTTTTTTTAAACTGCAGCAAACCACTGTCACAGCAGACGTTACATCATTCATAAATGTGGCAGTAGCATTCTTGCACTTAAGAAATGCAGGATGGATTTCAAACCTGAAGTTGCTGGTACCGCCAAAGAAAGGAAGAAGTCGTCTAATGACTGTCAACATATTGTCTTTTAAATGCATTTCATAACTTCGTTTCTTCTTCAGGGTGCCTGTGCTAAGGAAACACGGAGATCATCACAATGACTGATAAGGATTTAAATGAAGTGAGTTATACAGAAGTAACTAACTAACTAACTAGATGGCTTACAGAACCCAAAAGTTCATCACCGAATTCACCAAAGCCCTCCACCGGATCCAGTCTCCTTCAACTCCTATCTCCCATAGATCCCGCCTGACTTTCTCCTCCCATCTACGTCTAGGTCTCCCCAGCGGTCTACGAATTTTGCCACAGGTTATACAGATGTATGCAATCTTAATTTTGTGAATATAAACCTAATCAGCCCTTTGTGCTGAAAGTTTAGACATGAGATGAGAACGCAAATCAAACAGTATACTGCAATTGCCATGCTGACAGTAAAAATACCATGATGTTACTGTCTTAAAATATTTATTAATTTTAGTTTTACAACCTGCCCATTTCCTATTAAAGTTCAGTTAACAAGGTTACAGTAAGGTATCTGTTCCCATTTCAGGCAAGTTCCTGGCTCTCTTGATTGCGGTTTTCATGGTCATCCTGCAACTCTGTGTAACTGCCAGGACAGCACAATTTCCAGATCCCTATTTACTTAGCACCTTGTGGTCTCATTAGACAGTACATACACAGTGCTGTAAAATAACAAACACTGAACTTCTCCAACATTTTGCCCTGTCTAAACTCAGGGAATTCAATTTATTATAGAAAACAAATTATTCGGTATGGTAGTTATGTGTAATAGGAGCAGTGCATCACAGTTAGGAACCACAAATATGCAGAACTATACACAAACAGATATCAGTCCCTCAATGACAAAAAGTCACTACATGTTTCTGTGCATAAACATTTTCAAAGCAGTTAATTACAGGGCATGTATTTCAAACAGTACTGAAGTTAGAAGCAGCAAACAGAAAAACATGATTCTATTTTCTCTGTCCAATCTTCAATTACGGAATTTCCACTCTCCTGGTCCCTGCCTTCCCTGGAACTACAGCATGAGTTTTGAAACAATCCTTCCTTTTGTGAACTGGACAACGAGGTCTCAGAATTAGTTTGCGCCGTCCGTTTCCTCAAATGGTTTACAAATTAAACACTTATTTACAATTCTGTGCCATCTCCATTTATACAATTTTGCATCAAACACCAGGACACATCAGCATTTAGTAAATTAGGTACCGCTCAGCCTACGTCAAGTGAAGTCTGTTAAACACCTGACCCGTTATATTACAGGTGGGCCTCGAAATTGAGGCACCGGGTATCACAAGAGGTTCCATCGCTATGCCAAGCTTACCTAAACCACTGACATTAGAAGAGAAGAAATATCTTCTTGTAGTGGAAAGAGGTGACTCGGCCAATGTCAGAAGGTCGGTATTTCATTGCACGCTGATGATATGACAGTCAGATCAGTGGACGTGATTGCCTGATTATTACATTGCTTCTAACATGATAACAAACAGCAATTCTTTGGCACTGAAATATGCAATTATTTCTTCCATGTGATATCTGGATTGATTAAAATAATCAAAATAGAGCAGCAAACTTCATATTCTACCTATGTGCTATAAGAAGAAACACCTTAACTCCTCCAAAGACAAGTATTGACCGAATAAAAAAGTAAATATCTACGCATGAAACTAGTGTAGTTGATTCTACTGTCAACAGGATGTTGCAGCTTGCCCACAGAAAGAACCACATCAACATAAACTGTGTTGACCCTCTGGGAAGGGGTGCATTGTCCTTGGCAATTGACGGAGAGAACCTGGACATGGTCGAGCTGCTGGTTGTTATGGGTGTGGAAACGAAGGATGCACTACTGCAGTCAATTGATGTCGGGTTTGTTGAGGCAGCTGAACTGCTTCTGGAGCATGAAGAACTTATTCACAAACAGGGAGAGCCTTATGTAAGTCACATTACTTAAAAACTGTTCAGTTAACTTCTCCTCATTCAAAACATAAAAGTACAACATTATGCACTTATGATACTGAAGTAGCATACTATATACTCTCCACCAATGTTATTAGAATGTTAAAATAAAGGAGGACGAGATGGCACAACATGTAGGATCACTTGGGGCACTGAGGCATGAATTAGACGTTAAAAATGATCTTGAAGAAACGTGATGTAAGGGTGTGGACTGGATTTTTCTGGATCAGTACAGGATCCAATGATGTGATATTGTAAACGCTACAATGAACATTCTGGTACATGACGAGAAAACACATTTAAGAGTAGCTGAGCAACTATTACTTTCTGAAGACAGAGTCTACTCATTTTGGTACAGAAGGAACACTTTCACCCTTCATTATTTTTCAGAGTTGGCAAAAGGCAGACTGGAACACAGCAACATTCACTCCAGACATCACACCCCTGATTCTTGCAGCTCATCGTAACAACTACGAAATACTCAAGATTTTACTGGACAGAGGTGCAACATTACCAATGCCCCATGACATTAAGTAAGTAACATGAACACTCAAAATGCAACCTGTACACATGCGCAATGCTGCAATGGGGCAGAGTTAGTAAGGATCCAGGGTTTAACTTGCCTGTCAGTGAACCATGATATTCATCATTTAATCATAATTTCATGACTGAAAATATCAAAAGACAGTGCACAATGAAGAATGTAAACTTGCTACCTCCATTGTCAGGGAGATTATGGAGGCAGCAAGGACCTCTGAAACTTCTACGAGACTACATGGTGCAACAACCCAGAAGACGGCCATCTTCACTATTTCATGATCCACATATTACACTGAACCGAAGACGACTCACACCACTGATCTTCACTTGTCAACCGCAAAAAAACGATTTATCCTCTTCATGAGTCAGGGTCAGATCTTGCATGGGCCAGCAACCACAAAATTAAAACTGGGTCTCTCACTTTTAGTTATTACTATCTAATATGTTAATAAAACAAACGATACTACTTTGTAGCCTATGTTTCTGATAAATTATGTCTGCGTCATAGGTGCGGCTGTGACGACTGCATTCGAGAATGTCAGGAAGACTCGCTCCGTTTCTCGGTGTCTCGTCTGAACGAGTACCGCGCTCTATCAAGCCCATCTTTAATAGCTCTGTCATCTAATGACCCAATCCTTACAGCTTTTCAACTGTCTTGGGAGCTTCGAAACTTAGCTTTCGCTGAGCATGAAAGCAAGAGTGATTACATGGCAAGTAAAAACAGGTTTTACAAAAGCAACAGCCACTCTAACAGAACTATTCAGTTCCTTGAGTTCCTGGTGTCTTGCAAGAAGCAGCAGTAATTACATCATCACAACTATTGAACTTGCTGGTACTGACAGCTGAAGAAGTTGACTCTGAGACACCACTAACGCCTGTTTTCGGTGTCAATTTATAGTCCGTGAACAAAACAATATTTCCAGCAGAAATATATAGTGAAATGTGAGATAAGTAGGAAAGATCATATCACATACCGCCAACACTAACAATTATAAGTGATTTCCAACGTAACAAGTATTTTCAAATGCCTGTACTGACGTCAAACAAATTCCTAACATACATGGCTTTTACAAAAATCAGTATGGACTGTTTTCAAAATTGTATATAAAGTTTGTAAATTATTTCTGAAAGTAACCACAGAAAAGACCTACAAAAGAGACGAAATGCAGACTGAATTATGCCATAAATTTTATACATTCAAGTTGAAAGTATTCAGGAAGTTCCTGTCTCATTAGGATATTATACAAAACACAGTGGCCAAGATAAAAGCTCCGTGTTTCATGTAAGTTGGTCACTGCACTAGAGTTTCAACTGTGAAAAACTGTCTTCAGGCTTTAATATTAATTTTCCATACTTCATTTTTTATGTTCACAAAACTCATGCAAAGATAGATACATACTACAGCATCTGATTTCAATTTTAATTCAACGCCTCTTACTTTAAACGACAGGAACTGCGACGCCAGTGCCAGCAGTTCGCAGTCGACCTTCTCCACCAGTCTCGTAGCTCTCAGGAACTTGCTATTATCCTCAATCACGATCCTGATTCTCCCCCTTACGAAGCCGGCGAACACATGAAGCTAGCTCGACTGGAACTGGCCATCAACTGCAAGCAAAAGAAGGCATGTGATAACAGAATTATTATAAGTTATTTGTGTCATTCCTGTACTTCTACATTATACACCTTTATTTCTAGACTAATCAGTTTTAATTTGTACATTTCAGTTTGTTGCTCATCCTAACATTCAACAACTATTGGCAACCATTTGGTACGAAGGACTTCCTGGATTTCGACGCAAACCTGTGACACAGAAGCTGATGCAGATATCATCTATAGCATTGCTGTTTCCCTTTCACTGTATGTTGTACATCATTGCACCAAATACACCAACTGGAAAACTGATGAGGAAACCATTCATGAAATTTCTCATTCATGCATCTTCTTACCTTTTCTTTTTAAGTAAGTATTTTGATATCAAATGCTTATTCCATGTCAGCATCTTCAAAATTACATTTCAAAAAGAAAACAAATATAAAAATGCTATAACAGTAAACTCACATATACTGAAACCTGTTACAAAAAGTGTTAAACAGATTATTTCTTCATTAATTGGTCAATTCATGTAGCATACAGTAGTAACTGAATTAATATATGAAATAAACTAAAGAGCTAAGTAAGCTTTACACAGCAAGTTTAAACACTAAAGAACATAAACAGTCTTTTTAGTAAGCAAGAAAAATTATACTTGTCCATATTTCTTTCAGAATATAAAGAAATAAAAGATGATATACAAGCAACTGAAAAATTAAATAAAATTGATGCTATGAAGATGTAATATAATTATCAGCATTACGGAGAAGACGCATTTTGTGCACAAATCAGACATGATGCATACTCTCACACAGATGACTCAAAATAAACCAATAAAGAGAGTACAGGGGTGTCTAAATTACAGACAAAATTTTGGAAGAACATGTTAAAATTTTAAGATGTAAATCAAATGATATACAACAGTATCTTCTATGTGCTTCATGATACTTTAATGTATGTTTGAGTTTTCATAATTGAATTACAGTGCTTCTCATTCTGGTCTCACAACGTGCTGAAGTACAAGTGATACAGATATTTGGTACAGAGAGCATGAGAAAAGCTCTGGCAGAACAGCTTCAAATACAGCGTGGTAATGGTCCTTCAATTCTGGAATGGATTGTTGCAGTTTATGTTCTTGGTATGTAAAGATTAATGCTGACTAATATTAAACAATTTCCCCTTCAGATTTATAATTTTCTTCTGATTCTATCAATTAGGCCCTTTTCAGATATCCATAAACGGCCGAAAATATCGACACACATAGAAATGAAAAGTATGAAATAATTATAACTTGTTCTGGAGGAAATCACAAGCTCAAACCAAACATTCCAATTAGCTTTAAATTAAAGAGAGTCTAGAATAAATAATACATTTCTAACTATATTGTTTAAAATAATGAGGTATTTCCGGATGGTGTTTACAGACATAACCTTAAAGTTTTTCACCACCACCTCGTCCTCAACTTCTAAACACATAAAAAATGTTTAATACATAATTTACTTCTATATTTATGATATAAACGTTTAGAATTCACAGCTGTAATAATTCGCCTGCGACTGTTATCAAATACAACAATAAACACATACCCTTATCACGTAGATGTCATACTGGCACTGATCATAAATGAAGATGGCTGTCTTCTGGGTTTTTGGTCTGTGTAGTGTGGTAGACGGTGTTTTAGAAATGCTATATGGCGCAACAACCCAAAACAACAACCACATTTGTTGCCGTGAGAACCAGAAGTCACAGATCACAAATGAAAACCTATCCTGACCACAGGTTTCTCCAAAACGTATACACCCACCTACAATTCTACATGGCATCACAACCCACATTTTCACTCCCAAAAAACCTTGTATATACTAACATGTACTTCTTGCCTGAGGTTTCTGCAAATGAAAATTGATATGCCAAGAATAACATTTGGTACTTATTATACAGTTTGCCTCAGATAGCAATGATGAGCAAGGAAAAAATAGAACATAGGGTATCACATAAGTACACAAATTCATTCTTTAAATAGACATGTTCCACTTATTCCACTGTGACTCAGGACACATGAGTCAGTGAGTGACTGGCTACAGGAATGATGACTGGGACTGAAACTGATATTTAGGAAAATTTCTCTTCACTACCTGAATCCAGACCAGCTTTCAGTTCTAGTTCTATCCAGTGGGTACTGGTTATGCTTCTTCTTATTCTTATTCTAGTAGATAGGTCCAGAATGTGTGGTGGTATACCTGAACTCCTCCATATACGATTTAAATGGTGAAATGTGTAACACTTTGAAGCAGTAACATGTTTAAATGACATGTGAGTCTGTAATTCAAAGTAAACACAACACTTCACCACTGCAAAGTTCAAATGGTTAATGTTGTTTAAGGAAATAATCACTGTTTGCTGTGAGAATCACATAAAACCCATAAATACAAAATGTTAAAGCAGCTGGTACATGTACTTACCACTTGGCTTTAAATGGTTAATAAAGCACAGGGATGTCTTTCTCTTCACCTTACATTCATTCTTCTTTTGGAACAGTTACAATCTGCATTGTTTTGTCTTTCATCACCGAACTTACCCAAAGAGCCAAGAGAGTAAACTTTTGCAGGTTTCACACGAACTTAACACAGGCCACATTAAACCTAAAAATCAAACTTACAGAAATCTTGATCAAGCTATCAATTTCAAAAAATTTAATTTATTTAATTTTTATTCATTAGAATGATCTACATTTCACTGATTAGCACGCACTTTCATTTTTACTACACTAAGATTCTGCTACTGACTGACAGAAATAAATGTACAAAATGCCAGATGACAAAGAAAAGTGAACTTACCCACGCACAGTTACTGAGATATAGGATGAAATATTTTAGCATTTATCTCGATGAGCAGAGAGAAACCATGAAAACAGGCACTGCTTTTCTTATAAAATATTGCATTACCTTTCACCAGGCTCCGTAGAATCCTCAAAGTGACACAGAATAGACAGAAACGCTCGTCTTTTACAGGTTTCATTTGGCAGGAAACGATGGAGATCTTTCAGGAAGGTGTGCAGAGCTATCTTCGAAATATGTGGAACTTTATTGACTTCACACGCAACTCTCTCTACGTGTCAGTGGCCATCCTCCGTATCGCTGCGTACATACAACAGACTCGAGAGATTTACGCTGATCCAGCCACAGCTTACATTCCACGCGAACAGTGGGATGACTTTGATCCTCAGCTGATAGCTGAAGGACTCTTTGCTGGGGCCAATATATTCAGGTAATATAACACTGTGAAAGATGTGTGCTGTGCTTTCCATCACTTTGTGACAGTAGCAGAGATTTCATCACGTTTTTCTGTCATTTCAGTGCTCTGAAGTTGGTTCACTTGTTCTCAATCAATCCTCATCTCGGGCCACTTCAAATCTCTCTTGGCAGGATGGTTATTGACATTGTCAAATTCTTTTTCATCTACAGTCTCGTCCTGTTTGCATTTGCATGTGGTAAGGCGTTATCGTAGTTTTTACTAAACAATAGAGCTTAATTAAATTAAAAAAGGAAGCGATTAACAGCTACAACAGGACCAAAGAAAGGAAAGAATTTGTTCCTTTGAGATAAAAACAAAAGTCAAAAACTGGTTAAATCCTCATTTATTAGTTTGTTCAGAGTTAACGTGAGTCCTGGATAACGACTTCTAAACAGCGCACAAAGGAAGAACTTTCTTTACTTCGTAGTCATCCAAGTTTATGTCTTTCTTTCTTAATCAGTGATCTCTTGCCACTGACGATCGCCGGTCGCTACGATTTGTGTCCGCCTGTAACAGAGGCTGTGTTTGACTGGGCAATGCAACTACTGGACGAGTAACGTGCTCAGTGCGACTAACGAACGGATAAAAATACTGGGATGAAGAGAGGCGTAGGAACATGCATATCCCAGCTGATAATTTGTCTACCAATAATTTTTTTTTGGGGGGGGGGCTGTGTGTCAAATTATCCTTTGTGTGTGCAAGGTGTCTCTGACATAAATACAAAATAAATTATGTATTTGTGCTCCATCAAGAATTCTTCCGCTATTCTCCGAGTCAGCTGTTGATTTTTAAATTGTAATTTAATGACTCATTTCTGATCACTCGTGGAACGCATTTGTAGGTCTGAACCAATTATTATGGTATTTCGCGGAGATGGAGAAGCAGAAGTGTTACCACTTGCCCGGTGGAATGCCCGACTGGGACAACAACGGCGACGCATGTATGAAGTGGAGACGATTTGGCAAGTATGTGGTCCACGTAGACACGCAGAATCCCAAAGCCTGCATCTCTTAACAGTACGTGCAGATATCAAATGCCGCGACTCAGAAATTACAGACAACAGAAGCCAAAGTGCAATATTTTAGCTTATTCTGAACTCTGTACAGTTTCCAAATGCACTCATCGTCATTGTGTGTACCTCATGGTCTTATCATTATTTACCGCTGGACAATTAATATTTATTTTTTCATCATAACAAATGTGTAAACCTTCTCATCTATGTCACTGAAATAATCTGAAGCCCATCCTTCATCTGTTGCTACATTCACACACGTTAATGTTTACAGTATCATTTAAATAAGACTTTGTTCACTATTTATTTTCTTAACAATAATGTCTTTATCACATTTGCACCACGATTTTCCTTCCAGACTACAGCTATGTATTTTCTCAGACAACAAAGAGGATACCAATAACTGCTCTTTTACGTCTCAGACAACAAAGAGGATACCAATAACCGCTTTTTTACGCTGCAGACACAACTACATTATTAAAAAAACTATTCACAATAAACAGAATGACATTAGTTTTCACCGCATAAAGAAATGTTGTAAATATAAACGAGACTGATACATACTTTTTGTGCTTGTGAGAAAACTGACAAGTGTGATTTGGGCCTAATACATAGTTCAGACGTATTTGACTGACGCGAACTAAGATTACAATCACTAAGCAAATTTTAGTGTCGACTCCTATCTCAAATTTTATCAAAAGCTACTGAGAAATTCTGAGGACGAAATATGGGCAGGCATGGACAAATATTACCTCCCCATTATGCATTAACTTCACGCAGTACATTAAAACGAAAATGGAGATTAATGTTCATTGTGGAGCTAACTGTTTCATATCTTCCGCAGTTTGTTCGAATCTTCGCAGTCGTTGTTCTGGGCCAGTTTTGGTGGAGTTGGCATCGACAGTTTTGAGCTGACAGGAATAAAGACTTACACCCGTTTCTGGGGCCTCCTCATGTTCGGTTCCTACTCAGTGATCAATGTGATTGTGTTGCTGAACCTGCTTATTGCTATGATGTCTAACTCTTACGCCATGATCGACGTGAGTATAGACTGCGGAATTCAACCCACAGTAACTGCGACGACACGAAATTGGCAAATACATAATTTTTACCATTTTTAAAAAGAGAGGAAATCTGAAATCACTGGTTTTGCAGGAACATTCTGACACTGAATGGAAGTTTGCACGAACACGTCTGTGGATGAGCTACTTTGAAGAAAGCGCCACTCTTCCACCACCATTCAACATCTTCCCAACACCCAAACTACTGTTTAAAATGTTTGGTATTCGGAAGAAGGATAAACTAAGAAGAATGTCTTCAAAGGTAGACACTTCTAAGACGACAAACATAAATCATAGTTATGTAAATTTTACTAGCAATCAGCTGTTCCTGTTATCATAAACATCAATTTGGTTGACGCCGTAACAGCCCAGCCGTGTCCAAGTTACGGACACGGCTTTGTGTTTTGATATTCGATGGTCTCGTGCCGCTCAGTTAAACAAAGGACCCGTGATGTTTGCAGCGCAAGGAACGCCAGGAAAAGGAACGTGATAGCCGATACACAGCCGTAATGAGGGCTTTGGTGTGGCGCTATGTGTCGGCCAAGCATCGCGAATCCGAAGAGAGTCCTGTGACAGAGGACGATATCAATGAAGTGAAAGGAGAAATTTCAGCTGCAAAATGTGAACTGCTGGAAGTTCTACACTCCAATGGGATGGACATTTCAAAAGCAAATGCCAAGGAGAAAAGTAAACTACAACTTTCTTTCTCTAATTCAACATTTGAACTGCTGAAATGGGGCATTTTAAGTTCTAGGCCAGTTTCCTGTTCTTTCCCGTATAAAACACAGAAAAGTGCCTTTCAGACTGGTTTGTTTGATTACTAAAAATTATTTAAATTAGATTCAGTAATACACTTTATAATTTTTTACTGAAGTATCCAAAATAAACATGGCTTTCTGCTACCAAGAAACGAACTTTTGTTTAACAAATCAGCTTTAAGGGAATACATCCCACCTATAAAATAAAAAGTTAGCTTAATAAACCAGTCTTGCATGATAGACGTCTGACTAGCATCAACCTCCTTCAATCATTCAATCATTCAATCGCGCTGTTACTTACGAGCGTGTGTTTTAAGACAGTCTGGGAGGTTAGAATCATCTCGTTAACTCAGTAAATTATATTTTACAACTTTAAGCAGAGCTAGAGGCTACGGTACAATCAATCAGCTTCACTGGCCTTCGTACCATCATCATAAATCTCTTTCATAAAGATTTTCTGGCGAGGAAAGTTACAAGATGCAATGAGAGCAGTATTTATTACTGAGTTTGATTCCATGCATTGCAATAATAAACTACCAATGAACTTGATTTTAGCTATTCTTGGCAAGAAGATGAGAATCTGGGAACGTCGTCTCATGAAAGATTTTCATGTGGCACCTGTTACTGCAGAAGAAGAAATTGAACACGCGCCAGAAATTTCTACCGAGATCGAGGACTCTCTGTCTCGGTTCAGACGTATCGCGAAACTCGCCGTCTTAAATTCATCCTCTCACAAATGGGGTCAACTTTTAGAGGGAGTGTGTGAAGCGTAAGTCCTTGAACATTCACCTACACTACACGAATAAAAGAAGGGAAAATTTATCCCAACCAGTTACTCCACTAATAAACACAGAAGGGAACAAAAACGTCTTGTGAAAACTTCAAAATGTTTTAATTCTTTCTGTGTTCAAATGTTTTTATAGCTTCGTGTTAGTTAAATCCAGTCTTTGCAGACTGAAGAGACCGTAGGAGAAGTTTAGTTTGAGTTCCAACGATGGGACCACGGCCTTGTTGTTGCGGAAAAGAGATAGACAGATGGACAGATATGAACAGGCCCATAAGGTGGTCTTTGCTTGTGCTGATTCAAGCAAGTGTGACATATGCTCGGATCAAACAGTTTCCATACAGTTCCTTTTTATTTATTTATTTATTTATTTTTGCACAGATCTCAAATTGGACACTGCAACAACCGTGAATCCTACAGAAATCAGCAGAACCTTCAGAGGGCCATGGATCAAGCTCGTAAACTGGTAAACCGAAGTCCCACACCTGGTGCCTCTAGAGCGGCTTCGCCCATCCCACTTCCTGAGACGACAGCTTCGTCCATCATGGAACTGTTGAAGGACATTACAGAACACAGCGAAGAAAGCAACAAGCCTCTGAAAGAAGGTATCACTATTAAAATAGTTTTAAATACGTATCACCTTCTAAGTGGTTGCCTATTTTTTCAGCCATTGCTAAGTTGCTCACACCTTCAATATATCCCCAGCTTCCAGCAAAGTTGCTAGAAAATGCAAAAAAAGTGTATTTTCTGCATGCCTGACTCGAGTGCTCACACAATAAAAATAAATATTCTGCTGGTCCATTCAATTGCAGGAACACTGTTTCTAGCCGTGCAAAGCAAACAGACGTCTCGATGCACCACACCAACTTCAGCAGTAACGCACGGCCGGGAGGCTGCCGAGAAAAGAGAACCGCCCACAAAACCGACCAGAATTTTGCCTTCTTCAGGTGCTACAGCAGAAACTAGCCAAGCTCAGAGAACACCAGAGTCAGACGGCAATTCTCCGACTGAAACTGCGGCTTCCGCTGATTCCACAAGGTCTGAAAACCAATCAGCCAAAATTATCGAATGCAAAGCTGATTCTGAGAGTCCATCAGCGGGTCAGAATGTTGGCGACGATAGTCCAACGGCACATCCAGAAATAGTACCTCCTCAACTACAGAAATCTGATATTACTGAAGCCACGGACAAATCGCCAGAACCTCTGATTGTAATTACCGCGCCAGAGCCAACTACGGAAATCGACGTCAAACCAGCCGACGAGTCTGAACGAGAGGAATCACCTTCAGTACCTCGGTTCGAGGCTATGCTGAGCAGCTGTCAGAACAGCACAAACATCGCCGACAGCATGGAACCCAGTTCCAGCACAGAGCAATTACTAAGCACTGCTGATTCTCCAGCAAAGAGGGTCGCAGGCTTGAACCCAATTAAACGACAGCCGAAAGAGGGTTGGTTATAAATTAGGTGCCGCGATGCAAAACGTCCTATTAGAACAGAACAAGGCAAAACCATTTAGAGGGCTTCTATGGGTCTTAATGAGAACACCGGGCCAAAGTAATTCCAAATGCATCGTTCATTAAGACATACTTGGTTTTATTTCCAGCTTAATGTGCAAGTCAACATGACTACGTTACAATTCAAATGGCATGAAACCTGTTTCATCTTGTAAGCGGACACAGAAATTGAGCGTAAAAATTATTTAGTAAACTAATGGTGTATTTATATTTATATTTCATGTAATTTAATGCTGGGTCATTCTGTATATTTCCCCATGTAATTGTAAGTCAGGTTAAGAAACGTTTCTCATTTAATAACTGCAACAGATTTGTAATTGGTTATGAGATGTGCCGATTCTAAAGTAGAGTAACCAGAAAATGAATTGTGCAACGCTTGCGTGAGGCAAATAGTTTAGATGAACACGCTTTACGGAGGTAGTACGTAACTATGATTTACTCAGTAGCCTGAGGTGAACTCCTGATGCACTGAGTATTTCACAGGGCCAGACCCTCAGAAATATTAAGTAATCATGCAATTTTTTAATGAAATCTTAAGGTGCAGGGTCTGATGGACAAAAATCACTCGACTTTTCTAGCTAAGAAATGGAATATCTGTGGCTGAAAATATGCAGATCTTTTCACTATCATCAATTACTTTCTTTCAGTTTGAAATCTGTTAGGTACAATTTTAAAATCAGAATGTGTCAATGTGAGGCAGTACATAAAAACTTCAAAACAATCAAAACCAAACAGCCTTTTAATTGTCATTCATCAAGTTTTGTAAAATTATCACTCACCTCAGTGGTGCAAATGGTCGTGCCTCTTGTTAATGATAAATACATATTGAGCTGCCAGTCTCATATACACTGTGAACGTTCACAAAACTTGGATACACTTAGTGCGACTAACACGAACAGTTGTTACACGACTGAGCATAAAGTCCGGGTCCAGTAAGTTTCAAGCTGTCCGTTATGAACGCGGCTCCGTCTGTACCATCCTGCCGCATCATAACATCCACGAGAAACCTGCGAGAAATCATCGCATCCACAAACAGATCTTTACATCGTAAATAATGAAGAAAGTCTTTCAGCCAAGTTCACTGACACTGAAAGGAAATCTATGAAATGCAGCTCTAAATGTACAGCACCGCGAATGAGGCGGCTGCCGAACACCACAACACCGCTGTCAAGAAAAGCAAGGAACATGAGCATCCAGTTGACGTGAGAGTAAGTGACCAAGTCCTGCAGAATAACATTAGAGAGATATTTTTAGGAACTACACAGCATTCTGACCACGGAAAACGTCGTAGCCTCTGTATGTGCAAGGAAGACAAAACGAGACTGACACAAGGAAATGAAGTGGATAAAATGCAAGAGGAGAGACTGTAAGAACAAAGGAAGTTTGTGAAGTGAAGACCAACGAAAGTAAAAATGTTGATGACAGGACAAAGCTGCACACTTTTGATTCCTTCCCTTATTACAAACTGAAAATGCATTTTGAAACTCTGCAATCGGGAAGGCTCAACCTTGCTGTCATCTGATTACCTACTTAGCTGCACCACTTACTTCATCGCGTCATTCACCATAAGCCCTTCTTTCGCTGATGTTTCAGTCCAACCAATAAAATTGAATTCCTTATAAAATTCTTCTATTTCCAATTGGTCAACTTGTCGCTGTCGCAAATCACACTGCGAGAAGAACAGAAAAATTACGATTGGTCTAGGCAGAGCAAAGCTTCAGCGTTCCCACAAAAATATTCTCTTAATATTTGTATCTCGTTACATTAGCGTCTGCTGAAGCAGATGAATGGATCCAGAGACATTAAAGTTGAATTATGTTAAATATGTCTCTGTGTGCATAAATAAAACATTTCACTCATTTAGTTAGTGAACTTTTGTGTGACTAAAGCTTTGATTTTGTTCCTCTATAATAAGGTAAAATACGAATGTATTCAACGATTCTAATCAGTGGGCAATACCAAAATTCATACTTTTATTCATTTAAAATGAAATAAAAAGCTGAAAGGAAATAAAACAGGAAGCAAGCAACAAACAAGCCACTGGGTGACTGAATTATTCAGAATGTCAGTGACCTACCTTATTTGCTAGAAGCAAACACGGAATGGGACTACCATCTGGGAGCCGACATTTCGAATCGACGTCTCTTTTCCATTTCACAGTGTTCACAAAAGAGTTTCTGTTTGTTAAGTCAAACATAATAACACACCCACGGGAATCCTTGTAGTACACTCTCGTCATCCATGTGAATCTCTCTTGACCTGTTGATTTGAAGAATTTTAGAGTATTACGTTACGCATTTTCAGAAAGGCAGAATTCAGACCACTCTCGAACAGATGTGAAGTGCGAGAGTGAAATCATTCTTATCACTCAAATGAGGACAAAACCCACAAAATTTACGTATTTAATTTTAAGTGACAAACCAATTTAAATGTCAATGATTGACACTTCTTACCAGCAACGTCCCAAAGCTGCAACTTTACAGTTTGAGTCTCTGACCATTTTACAACCTTGAGTGCAAAATCGACTCCCACAGTGCCTTTATAATCCTTCTTATACGAATTCTGAACGTATCGTTGGACGAATGAAGTTTTCCCAACAGTCGGATCTCCTACAACAATCACTTTAAACAGCTTCTCTGCTACAGGAGATATTTCTGAATAGAAGAAATCCATAGCAAGATAACCAGCACAGACTCCACTCACCAAATGAGACACACTGCAGATAAGTCCATCTGAACAGATGTTTACTTAATCTCTTCCAGATGGCAGTAATTCTGAGTGGTGGAATAATGATGTGGAAAATGTTTGTCAAGTGTAGGGCCACCGAGCAGAATGTGTTGGATACTTTATGGTGGATACAGTCTACTTAAACTATTATTTTCTACTTCAAATTTATAACTATTTTAAACTTTTTTGTCAGATAGTGTTTATGGAAACTTACTGGGTGGTATTTTGCACCACAACAAACAATTTAATATTGAGTCACACGTAATGTGAGCCCTTTGTACCTCGAGGCAAACAGACAGATGATCGCAGGTCTGGGACGGCAATGTGTGCTCAACGGTGGGGCAAAGATCAGGTTCCCCGAAAGAAGATTTTATTCCGGCTGCAGATACAGTCACGAGGGCAGAACTGGGCTGTCCCTTTGGACGGGTTGTGGCGGAAGGTTGGGAAGGTAGGATGATAGACACTGCGCATGTGCACAGGTGAACGTAAGACGACGCTCAGCGGAAAAGAAAATGCACACCTAAGTCTTCTCTCAGCGAACACATCAGAATTTAAAATGCGAAGACACATTCACACTTTCAGGCAACACAACGGACTAATTTCAGCGTTCAGAACATACCACTTCGATCGTCTCGGTATCTAAAAATGTGAAATGAGGTCAAAGTTTACACTGTGGTCTTCCTGGTTACGACAACTCGTGGTTTTGTTGTACCACGTTTCGGAGGAATCGATCTTCTCCATCTTCGGGGTAGAAGCGTTCCTATCCTGTGTCATAACCCGTAATAACACAATTTAAATTAAATGCCTCCAAGCGACCGCTGAGTTCGTTCTGCTCAGTTTGAACCAACTTCTGCATCGTAAAAGATTCATTGATGGTTTCAGCTTAATACAGTTCGACTGGATTTACGTAACACGATGTCGCTGTGACTTTCCGAGAGCCGACGTAGGTCTTGTCATGACGTAACCTGCTCGCGCCAGTCCGTCAGTTGCCTTCAAATGTCGACCTTACTTCACTTGTCATAATGAATTTACGGATAATTTCCCCGATTTTCCTGTGCCAAATAAATCGACGATGTCTCTTCTGGGGAGGGAGGGGGGGAAGACATATTTCGGTGAAACAGGAAGCTTTCTGATTTCAACGTGATTTATTTTTAGACGAATCGAACGTGTGTAAGGGACGGGTCGCGTGACTTTTCGAACATTCTGTATCTCATCTACTCGTCCACTCACGCAGCGCAGATTATGACACACGTGCACGCGACGAAAAAGGTTAACTGCTGTTGCTGGGCCGACAGAGGCATCACAGCCCGGGAACCACCACCCGCTGGGCGCGAAAGGGCGGACAGGAACGGAGCACCTGAGGAAAACGTCTTCTGATACTTGAGACAAGATCCTGGTCGTACAGAACAATACACCAACAAGATTTCACTGGGTCACCGATTCCGGGAGACAAATAATTTTAAAAAACGGAGAAAAATAACGAGTGATAAATACATGAAGAAGGCAGGGATCAGAACGTCGAAGTCCACGTGGTCTACCGTCAAGCTGCGACTTCAGTCCGGGACCTGACGTGCGCTGTTTTATCAATGCTTAACGCCAGCTTTACTGGCAACGTATGAAACGGCTTCCAAGTCACGATTCTCAAAATATTATTAATTTAAATGAACGTATGGCCTGCGTACCAAAAACGCCCTCTAACAACAAGCAGCTGAAACAGAAGAAACAAATGAAACTAATCTGCCGACCGCACACCAGGGCGGGCTGGCTGGCTATTGCTTTACCCCCAGCCAAACATCATTTTGGAGCCTCTTAACGACCAACCGAAACTAATTACATGGAGCAGTCCTTCATGACAAGCCGACAGTCGCTCACTTAGTCGAGAAACTCCGCGCCTCTTATGTAACCAGAATATTGGTTACCGCGTTCACACCCATCCTGTATCTAGACTTCCCCACAATGTTTGTTTGCCAGAGAAGTTGCCGCTATGTCACGGCGCTACCTTCTGTGCAGTGGAAAGAAATCATTTTCACTACTGACTGACACCTGTACGTACTTCAAATGCACAGGAAAGCAACACGCTGTTACCCGAAATGTTTCAGAAACCACCAGTACCAAGACTTCCATGTTGTAGTCCCTGAAGTGGGAAAACGGGCGAGAAATCCAGGATGATCGTCGCATACAGGAACCCCGAGGAGCACGATGAGTCGGTAAAGAACCCACTGACGAGGTCGTGCGTTCGCCTATTAAAATCCTTTTGTTCGTTCGTCTGTACGCACCTAACAAATGGGCAACGGTTGAACGGAAAACCCGAAAGGAAGACACCGCTCCGAAGCCCAGGGACAGATGAGAGGATGAAAGTTCTTAACATGAGCCTTGTGGAAACAGCGTGGAGAGGGGCGACTGGATTCAGCTGGCTGAGGATAGGGTCCAGAGGCTCGCCCTTGTGAACACGACGATCAGCTTTCGAAGCAGGACCTAGGACTTACGTGCAGAAAGAGTGACTGTACCCTGAGACGGAGACGACTGCACCATATCACCCCTCAGGCAGCTGTCAGGGGGAGTAATCCCGCTGTTGAGAGTGCACATGGACCACAGATGCTGCAGCCCTCCGCTCAGGGATGGCAGAAGCCGAGGGTTTCATAAGTCACACACCCTTCCAAGTTGGAGCTCAGAGGACGAGCCAGCGATGGCCACGATTTCTGTTCTTAAAAACCGATTAATTATACGCAGGACATTACAATGAGATTAGTCTGTAGTGCTGTGTCCAAGAAACGGTGCACTGCACACATTCGGGACATAAATTTTAACTGAGATCTTCAGAATAAAGCAAATAAAGGTGAAGATGCTAGCTTCTGGATAAAGCCTAGAAAAAGCCATCAGCTGAGTTCGCGATTTATGAAGACGGCGATACTAATTATAAGACGTGAGACAGGATGAGATAACCTGCGTAGTTCCTACACAAGTAATAACCAATCGTACGGAACGAAGTCAGTCGTGAAATGACCCGACTTCTACGAAACCCCACGGTTCATTACCTTTTTCACAAGGCCTGGCGACTGAGCCAGCTGAATCCAGTCCATAACCTTGCACCCTGTTATGGCACCCCTGTCGTTCTCCCCCACGCCCCTGCAAAGTGCCGCGAGCGCCACGCCCCTACTCGACACACGGGTCGTGTGCCCGCCTCCCGCCTGCTCCAGCATCTCACGGTGCCGATCTGGACAGTCCACGTTTATCACGCTGCTCAAAGCGGCGATATCGTGTTAACTCGCGGTGCTGTTCCAGGAATAGGATTCTCAGGCGTTCGATGTTCACCGCGTGAAAAGGAACGGAGCGGATGTGTTTGTCCGCCATCACAGAAGCTGCTGAACGGATTTCGATCAGATTTGGTATCTACCATGAAACCAAAAGAAATTCCAACAGAAGGACGCGAGCATAAACAAAGGAAACTAATAAGTGCGGGGGGGGGGGGGGGGGGGGTGAAACAGAACAAGTATGCATATTTAAACATTTAGTACGGAGCTTATCAGCGTAGTTACAGAAGGGACAAATATTTAAATGACAAACACAACATAATGCATGTCCAAGCCGGCCTTTAGACACGGACAGGTCTAATGAGAAGCAGCGCGTATGAGGTTTCTGAGGTCAATACACGACGAAGTACCAACAGGCAGTCGGAAGCGAAGCTACGAGAAGGGAAGAGATCAGACACTATCAAAGCAAGGGAAAGCAACATGCACCTGGGCCCACCCAGCCCTCTGTCCAGTGGGTACTGGGGTCCTTTCCCCCGGGGGGGTGAGGCGCGGCTGGGGCGCGACGCAAAAAAAAACACTCATCCCCCATTTATCGCCGAGGTCAAGAATGACTAGCAGTTGTATGACCTCCCCCCAAGCGCCTACATGGCGTGTAGTGGGACAGCTTTAACACGTAGCCCGTAACAAACGCGGATACGCAGATATTCACGGCAAAATCTGTTACATAAACGAGACCTGGGCCGCAATACGGATGATAAATTTTAGCTTCGGGAAGGGTCACAACAGCACAAGAAGACGAAACCTTTGGCAAATTGCAGACTCACTGGCCGCACAGATCACACACTGTTGCAAGCGTAGCTAAAGTGTGGACGAGGCTCATTTGGATGAGCGCGCTA